AACAAAGAAAAGGCTATTATTTCTATTCGTATGCAAACATTGTGTCTGTATTTAAATCTCCTATTATTGAACACAATTTAATGGCAAAAATATTAATTTTTTGTTTAATTATACGAAAAAAGTTTATTTAAAATAAGATAAGTCATGATTATTGTTAAATAAGTTATATTTAAAACAATAAGACATTATAATATAGGAAAAGCATACTGTGATTATGAAATGTTACTTGTTTTAACATATAGACTACATGACTTTGTGTCAGCAAGATAAGCTAAAATAATTTATATGATCATGTACACACAAAAAAAATTAAATTAGTTTTTAAAAAGTTCATTTTATTTTAATGACATATTCACTTTAATACAGAAAATATTGACCAGTGCATTTTTATAAATAAGTTTGTGAATTTAAAAAACTTTTCACTTCACTTAAACTTTGCTAATTTTAAATGGTATCGTGACCCTGATAACAACACCTATTGGGTTTTTAATGTTATTTATGCAATATAAACTTAAAGTATATTATAATTAATATTATTGTGTTAATATTACAGTATAGTATTATTATACTATATATGCATTTACATTATTGTATTGATTGACATTCAATCACTAGTACTGTATTGAGAATTCAAATCAAGTGAAGCGAAAAATATAACTAATATTGCATTGAATCACAGTTAATATACACTGAATAAAAAAATCAGAAACTTTGAAAAGATTGTTCAGTAAATTGTTTTGCAATATACAGGCATTTCTCTGATAAGTTACGCTATCATTCATTTTAATTAAAAATTTTCAAATCTTTTTCAAACACTGTTTGAAATGCATCGATAATCGCAACAAAATATGTATTCATAAAAATGCTTTTAAAAAACTCTTTTCGGCTGTAAATGTGAATTAAATTTTTAACACATTATTTAAATTTTTGAATTATTGTACCGAAAAAACAATACCATAAACTACTGTAACATAAGGGCTTTCATGACACAAATCAATTATAAACTTTTTTCGTATAATTAAACAAAAAATTAATATTTTTGCCATTAAATTGTGTTCAATAATAGGAGATTTAAATACAGACACAATGTTTGCATACGAATAGAAATAATAGCCTTTTCTTTGTTGTTATGCTTAAAAAGTGGTTAAAAGAGAAAAGAGTTTTCAATTTCACTACAATTTAAAGCGTTTAAATCAATACAGATATCACGATCACAGTTAATGTGCTTTACATACAATTTATATAATAATACTTTTCGTGACTTTTGTTAGATTGCATTGAAAGGCAAAGTCATAGTCACTGGCAAAGCAAATACGAAAATTAATGCTAATTATGAACAAGTCAGTTATGAACAGGCTTCATAGTGTGATATATATAGACTACCTGTATACTGATTTTTATATATTGTATGAAACAGAATCTATTGTCATAATTTTTAAAATAATGAATGGTTATAAAAAATACTCAATTTATTTAATAAATCAAAAATGGGTTAAGCTTAAATATTTGCTTTTCCATATAACTTATACTAAATTGACTCATGAAATAGAAATTGACATTTTAATATACTGTAGTGAGTAACATGTGTTCCACCAATTACTAATTACAAATATAAAGGGCAGATTGAATGAATTTATAAATTCACAGTATTTATAAACAAGAGCACATATAATGGCCTTTCAATTGATCCATAAGACTAAAGTTGTGTTGAAAATTGTATCATTTTCTCATATGAATGACAAGATTGTTAAAAGTGATTTATTTACCATTGAAGCAAATGAATGGCAAATACGTGTGAATGTGAACCAAAAATGTAAAGACGAGGATAACCTTTTCTTAAGCATCTATCTAATGAAAGGTGTTGAGCCATCAGTGGTCACACAAATTAGTGTCTATGGATTAGACTCGCAATACAAACCGTTTGAAGAACATAGATATAAAAAGGCTTGCATCACATCTGTTGGATGTCACTATAATTTATCCATGAGATACTCGACATTATTGGACCAAAAACACATATATATACCTAACGATACCCTTACCATTTTTGTTGATATGATGCTCTATAAGCCAATAGTCGTGGGTCACATCAGGAAGTTATGTCTTGGGAACAGTTTTAATAACAAAGACCTCAATGACTGTAAACTCATTGTCGGCGATAAGGAGTTTTTTGTCTCCAAAGCTATACTTAGCTCACAATCCCTACAGAAAGTCGTCTACAAAAACCTACTGTACTATCTCTTCTTCAGGTTACTTCACTGATAGCTACTGTAGCTGCGACTGCAGAAGCTTCTCAACGAATTTAAGAACATAAAGCCTTTTAGGCTGAAATTGGAGGAAATGGCGGAACAACTGATAAGTATATGGTTTTAGACCTCAAGAATATCTGCGAGAATTTGCTATTCATTCAAATCAATGCTAAAAATGTGTTTAAAATATTGCAAACGATGGACAAATACAATAACGAAGAGCTCAAGACTAAGACCATTGAATACATCGCTAAGAATTGGAGTCAATGTGTGGAGGATGGATGGCATCACTTTTTAGGGGACAACCAGGTTCTTATCAATTGTCTCATTAATGGTCTTAAGATTAAAAGGAAGCCAAACGTGTGGATGCAAACCATGTCTTATACTTACAGTTATATTGAGCCTAAAGAGTCCGAAGTTGACGAATAAGATTGAAAAGAATTCATATGCAGTATATCTTTTGTACCCAGGGTCATATGATCCCAGGGTCCGGATTCCGGACATTCAATTTCATAAGTTTTTATGTCACTTTCATTTGTATTAACACTTTTTGAAAAACTTTGTCAAATAAAAAATTTTAATTTCTAATTATTGGTGTATTTTATTAATTTTGAACTTAAATTCATTGCGAGAGAGAGAGAGAGAGAGAGAGAGAGAGAGAGAGNGCCAACCCCTTAAAGTCCATCACTTGACAGAGATATCGAGATTTTATCGCAATTTCTATTCAAAACTAGAGATGTTGGGTTGTTGGGGGCCAATGAATGTGTGACCAAATAAACGACACGTTATTTGTGTATTTGTGTGCAGACGCTATGAAAAGGACTCAACAAATGATGAAATGCTTTGTTTGAGTCATTCAGTGGACAGCGTTTGACACAATCGGCGGATCAGATGACGCGAACCAAAGCGGTTCCCACGGCTAAGAGACCACTCGATGGTGATGTGGTCAGTGATGTCATCGTTGTGTCCGACACTGACTCCGAAGAGGAGGTGATTATTCAGCCGACGAAGAAACTGAAGACAAATAAGAGCCGTAAGAGTCAACACGAGTACGAGTTCTCAGTCCACGAAGACTTTGAAGACTTCTTAAGCGACTCCAACTTCTTCCTTACCATTCATTATCTTAATAAACGTTTGTCTCATTCATTGATCCACTCATGAGTTTGAATTGCCTAACGATATGTGTCTCCCATTTGATACAAACTTATAGCGGATGGGGTCGTGGAAGCGGTTCCCACAACAAGTCATTGTCTTTTGGGATCATTTAGTATTGAGTTATTGCCACAAAACTCTTCGGATAATAGCAGTTGTCTGTCCATTGACTCAATAAACAAGCGATTGGTTTACATATATGTATCTCAAGAGCTGTTCCGGTATTGTCTTTATTACGAGTGCAACGAATCGATGTCCGGAAAGCACGTCTTCGTGAACATGAAGTCCGACAATGAGTTTAAAGACATTGGTTTGGATTTTATTCAGGCCTTGAATTCACATCACTTTCATTTGACCACTAATTTGTCGATCAATGATAATAACATTGGCGTCAATGTGTGGCTCCAGAAGTCGGCGCTCAAACACCTGTCATACCATTCGCAGACATTTCTTAAACCCAATTATGAAGCGCTGGAACTAATGAACCACTTCTACGATATTCCCAAACCTATTGAAATGAATGATTCAAATAAAGGTAAATATTTCGAGGTCTTAAGCCGGGAATCAATCATTAATTTTTGATACTATTGTATAGAGATATCCAAAGAAAGTGTCGAAGAATTATACGCGAAGATTAAGACTAAACACAACGAAACTAAGGATAGTCTGCAACGGTTTGATGTCCAGCACCGGTCCCTCTATCCCACTCTTAGGCCCTATCAGGTCGACGCTGTAAGTGCTCTCATTGCCACCTGATTCTAGACATAGCTTAAGATTACTGTGTCTTTAGGTCCAATGGATGCTAAATAGAGAGCACATCCAATCCATTGGTTCCCATCAGATGTTATACGAGACTGTTATGACAATTGATGGCAAATCTATTAATTACAACAAATATTTGGGTTATTTTATTGACGACAGAAGTGATCCCAAGAACTATATATACGGCATCTCTCGGAGCGGAATACTGGCCGATGAGATGGGTTTAGGAAAGACTATTGAAGTGCTCTCTTGTATTCTCGCAAATCCCAGACCAGTCATCAGTGGTTTGAATGACAACTTCAGTGAATATAATAAACTGGATCTAATTGACTGGTCCTCTAGCGGACATTCTTGGGGTTTGTCTCTAAATTTTGTGCAATTGTGATACAATTACTGATAAAATTGTGCACTTTTTGTGTCCACAGAATGGTTTGCATGCGTTTGCGGTCTTATATCTAACGTAAGAAAGTATCGAAAGAAAAAACTCGTACTTTTCGACCAAATCACTGAAAATGATGACAACGATAGCGATGACACCGAAGTGGACGACGAATATGCGGAACAAATGGATGAAAAACTAATGGATTACTCAAAGATAATGGACACCCGTCGACGTAAACGGCGTGAAAAGCGATTCAATGAGAAAGTGTTGGTCCGGTGTCGCGGTTGCGGTTCATACCAACACGCGGTTTGTGTCAACTATAACACCGCAACCCTTAGGCCATACTTTTGCGGCCACTGCTGGGCCAGGGATACCATGAAACGGCTCGACTCGAGAGCCACACTAATAGTGAGCCCGCGATCTATTAGCCATCAATGGCAGGACGAGATCACCAAACATGTCGACTGCTCTCAACTCAATATATTTGTCTACGAAGGCGTCAAATCGGCCAAAGGTTATGTCCAACCCTTTGATTTGGCGGACAATGACATAGTGCTCACCACTTACGAGACGTTGAGGTCTGAAATCGATTTCGTAGACCTCCATCACTCCAATCGGTTCCGTAATCCCAAGCGCTTCAACTCGACGCCATCGCCACTACTGGCCATAAACTGGTGGCGCGTATGTCTGGATGAGGCGCAGATGGTTGAGAGCGCGTCCGCCAAAACGGCACAAATGGCGCACAGACTCAACGGTTTGCATCGCTGGGCGATCACCGGAACTCCTATTCAGCGATCAATTGACGACATCTACGGTTTGCTTCTGTTTATAGGCGAAGAGCCCTTTCATGAGAAGCACTTTTGGGATAAAATGCTTTACTTTCCATATTCTTGTGGTCCGTCTAAGAAAAGTGTATTATTTGAGACTTTTATTTCTAATTGAGATTTATTTGTCATTTGAAGGCAATTACGAGCCAATGGTCACAGCGTTGAGTAAATGTTTTTGGCGGACATCCAAACAGGAAGTGTGGGAACAGTTGGGAATTCCCGTTCAGAAGACAACCGTATCGACACTGAAGTTCTCTCCCGTCGAACAGCACTTCTATTCGAGACAACACTCTGAATGTCAGCGAAAATTCAATGAAAAAATGTTACGATTTTCTGATCTCAATATTAAACTCAAAGAATTGGACAAAAAGACAGCGAATGTCGTAATGAAACCGATGCTGAGTCTCCGACAAGTAAACAATTTTTTGTAATTTTTGTTTGTTATATGAAAATATGGTTAATCGGTATGTCTTTGAAGGCCTGTTGTCATCCGCAAGCAGTTCGCGGAAAGTTTGTTCCCATTTCCAAGAAAACGCTTACAATGGAGGAGCTCTTGAAGGATATGATTAAGAATACGCAATACGAGTGCGAAGAGGAGCACCGGAAGATCATATCTGCCGTCAACGGAATGGCAGGCATTCATATAATTGAAGTAATTGTTGACACTTTAGTGATATTTTTGTTGACATGTTTTGAGTTAAATGTGATCTGAAATGAATTTAACAGAAAGACTACGAGAAAGCGATTGAGTTTTATAGGCGAGCCTTGAATTCCATAGAGACATATAAAGCCAAAGACCTCTTCAGAACTGATAAATTACAACAAATCCATACTTTGCATAATTTGGCCGAAATTATGGAGTTGTGTGGCGTGAGACAGAAGGACAGGGAGTCCGGAGAATACTATAATAAAGAGAATGAGAAACAGGTATTAGATTATGAATATTCGGTCAATAGTTTGTGTTTTAATGAATGAATTGTTTATTTCATTCACATATAAAGACAACGGAAATAACATTAAGCGTAGACTTTGGGCGCACACTACGGGACGAGTACTTGAATTACGAATCAAAACAATTACATAACGAATATTTGGCTAAAGGGACGGTCAGTGTGGCCGAAGTGACCAAACAGTTGAATCCATTGGAGGAAACTGTGGAACAATTAGAAGATGTATTGAATACTAAAATAATTTATATAAAAAATACTTACATTTTCATTGATCTCACGAATGTGTAGTCATTCCAAACCTCCCAACAACAACCCTGGTGGAAGTTGGCCATTGATTATCTTAAGGCCACGGATGAAGAGCACAATCTGATTACACGCGTAAAAGACGTGTTAGAAGCGCACGATATGAGGGGACGGTTAGGCGAGGAACAACTGTCGAAGTTTGTGTCCATTTCGGACAAATTCAATGAGTCTTCGGGTCTGAAGTATATTTTGGACAAATGTTTGCGTGAATTACATCACTCGCGAAGTGTTTTGAGACAACGTGTCAAGAGTTTGAGCCCAAAGCCCACCGATTTAGAGCTGAATCAGGCCATCGACTGTCACCTGAGGCCTGAACGCGACAAAGAGGGCAACAGAGCTAATAGTGTCGTGAAATGTAAATACTGTTTAATACACGAGATGTTCAACGACTACGAGAAGAAACTCTATTACTTCAGCGTTGAAGAGAAGTCCGAAGAGTCGGGCTGTAAGTCGGCGGCGCTTATGGAGAAAGTGAGTCATATTTCTATGAGTTTTGCACTTTTCTGATGTATTAAACGTATGGTTTGATTGACAGCTGAGACGTGGCACGTGGGGTGACAGCGAAACCGAGCAGTCGCTCAAAGAAATCAATAAATTGTTTCGTCTGAGAGCTGATCCCAAGTCGTCTCAACACACAGATGTCATAGAAGACGGACAAAACCACTTAAAACTATTGGAAGCCATGAAAAAGGAGTTCCGAGGCCTGCGAGCCATTTGGATAGAGATCTACGACTACATTGCACTCATCGATGAGCTAAATATGGCTACAATTAGACTCCGATTACGATATCCGGATGAACCCAAGCCTAAAGAGACGATTACTTATATACTCGAAGCAAACGAAGTTCAGAATCAGTTAATAGTGTTGCGTTCGGATGAGGTGATCGCCAAGAATGCACTGCAATACCGATTATCGCGTTTGTATTATTTGAATAATTTATCGAAAGACGAGTCTAAGAGGAAAGGCGGTCACAACCCAGAGCTGTGTCCCATATGTCACTACCAGATGGGCGAGCAGTGGTCTGTCCTTCAATGCGGTCACAGTCTGTGTGTGAAGTGTTTGGATATCATGTTAAGCGAGTACTCGAGGAAAGAGAAGACGGGGGTTACCATACAGTGCGCGATGTGTAGAGAGCACTGTCCCGTCGCCGCCATCTTATACGTGAACTCCACGAATGCCCCCAAAGACGACAACCAAATGGAAGTGATCGGCAGTTGGTCCACAAAAGTGGAAGAAGTGGTTCGGTGTCTGTTGACTATAGCGGCCGACGACCCGACCGCCAAAACACTGGTGTTCTCGACGTGGGCTGACGTCCTTCAGCTCATATCCAACGCTTTGGTCGACAATCACTTTAATCACTGTTTTATCGCACATTCGGCCAAATTTAGCCAAAAGATCGATGCGTTTAAACAAAACCCAGAAATCAAAGCCCTGTTAATGCAAATAGATTTGGGCGCCAAAGGGCTGAACCTAATAGAGGCCACTCATGTGGTTCTGGTGGAGCCCACACTCAATAAGGCTAACGAACTGCAGGCCGTGGGACGGGTGCACCGAATCGGACAAACAAAGTATGCCATCCATTGGTCTGAGTTTGTGTTGTATTAATGTTGTATCATTTGGTTGTATTTTAGGCCCACTTTTGTACATAAGTTTATTGTCGAGAATACTATTGAGGAACGCATTTCTGGTATGTATTCAAGCGATGGCCCGACCGATGGACCCCTTTCCCCACAATTGGGACAGACATCGGAGCACGCGTTCATTACATTGAATCAAATGAAACACCTCTTTGATGGCAATTGAGGTTTAAATCTAATTTTATTTGAATTTATTAATTATGACCACATTTTAAACGACTAATTAAATTCAGACAACACTTTGTAAGTGTCTCTAAATGATGTAATTTTTAACAATTGAAACACTCATTTATATTTAATTATATATATACTTTGTTTTTATTTATTATCAATTCTATATATTATTTTATAAATATATTCTTAGTTTCAGTGTAATTATTAAAATTAATACTTTTTAAAAAGTTAATTACAAACCAATTGTATTGTTATTTATCTCGAATATGACTACAGCTCTGATGGACTTTCCGGATGTCATTAACTCTATTCCAGTGTTTATTTCATCCAAACTTATTCTGTGTGTTATAAATGGATTTAAGTTTATCTCTCCTTTTAAGTGCATTTCAATCAACGCTTTGGTGCCTTCAATGGGTTTATAGCCGCCCAGAAAACCCCCCATCAGTTTCTGTCCCGTTAGCAAAAGCCATGGATTTATGGTTAAGTTTTCTCCTAAAATAGATAACAATTGAATGCATGAACGGCTAATACATATGTATGTATAATATGTTATAATATGTTATAATATGTTAGTGATAGCACTCATACCATGTGGTGATAGTCCTATGGATACGCAAACTCCCCAACGATTAAGCGATTCAAAGGCCGATTGCATTGCCTTTACGTTTCCGATGCATTCAAATGTATAGTCGAGTCCTCCATCAGCTTTGAACAGCTCAGCGATAGTCTTATAGCCATCGGGCAAACGGTTTGGATTCACGAATTCATTGCATCCAAACTCCTTCGCCATCGCGAACTTCTCTTCATTGATATCGACGCCTATAATCCTTTTGGCGCCGTTGTGTTTAGCGCCCATAGCAGTGGCTAATCCCACGGCACCCAATCCCCACACGGCTACACTCGAGCCACTTTCCACTCGAGCCAAATTGACGGCATTCCCAAAACCGGTTGCAATACAACAACCAATTAAACAGATTTTCTCCAAATCGGCTCTTTTGTCGGCCACAACCACCGACTCCACAGACATTACGGTGTACTCACTAAACGTGGCACAGCCTATGGAGTTGTAAATAGGTTTTCCATCCATTGTCCAGAATCTGGTTGTGCCGTCAGGCATGACATTAAGAGTGCCGTTATTTCCTGTAAATACCAATGGATTAACAAAAATAAGCATTTATTTGAATGATTCATTGTAATCTTAATATGTACCTGTCTCACATAAGTTAGTTCTATTGCTTTGACACAAATCGCAAGTCTGACAGTTAGGTAACCACAGAGGGATGACATGATCTCCGATAGAAACAGAGGTGACATTCTGTCCGACACTCTCGACAATACCGGAGCCCTCGTGTCCCAGAATTAGTGGGAATATAAAATCTTTAGAGATGTTTGACTCGATTATATGAAGATCTGAACGACATATACCACTGCTTATAATCTTAATCCGGATTTCATTAGCTTTTGGCGGATCGACGTATATATCCTCCACCACTAGTGGCTGATGGAGACCATAGGCTACGGCTGCCCGACATTGGATTCGCTCACCGATTGTAGACATGAAATAATTTGTGAAATAATTTGTGAAATAATTTGTAAAATAATTTGTGAAATAACGAGTGAATTGACAAAATTAATTTAAATGGATTGCGAATTCAATATAAATAGGCATTTATTGGCCTTCAATGCATTATTTCCCAATTTATATATAGTTTTCAACACCGTATAAATTAAACAAAATATTAATTTAAATAACATAAAAAACAAAAATAAATATTAATTGATGAGAGTTTACAAATAAATTCATTTATTGGAAGCAACAGATTAGTAATGTTTAGATAAGAAGACATAAAATGTGTTTAAATTATGATTAGACATCAAATGAGTGATTGATGTATTAATATAGAAGATGTCCTTCAAATGATAGCGCCGACACTTTTTCTCTTATCTCAAACTTGGTCCGTATTTTTGTGTAAATTTAAAAACATTATTCTTATGAATTGTCTTTAAAAATGTCATTTTCTGAACCAATTTTGACCCAGAATTACCAGAATATCAATATAATATTCATTTGAAAAATAAATTCAAAAATACAGAATCAAAGTATTACAATATTTTTGTATCAGGGATCCAGTGTCTGTCTGACCACTAATGTTAATTGTATACAATTGAAAATATATTTATTTCTTATACAGTATATCAATTTTATTGTATTTTATTTATCAAACACAATGACTGTACGAATAGCCTTTCCATTCCTCATGAGATCAAAGCCCTGATTAATGTCATCTAATTTTATTTTATTAGTGATAAACAAATCCAAATTCAAGTTTCCGTTCATATATTTATTCACTAAATACTCGATGCCTTCCCTCGGCTTATATCCGCCGAAGAAACTGCCCGTCAGTTTCTGACCGCTTAGCAAAAGCCATGGATTGATGGGAACATCCATTCCTTCACATTTGATATTCAAATTCATAATTTACTTATAAATTAATACAAAAATCATTAAAAATGTGCAAACCTTTAGGCGGGAGACCGACGACAACGCAAACTCCCCACCGATTAAGCGATTCAAAGGCCGACTTAATAGCCCTGACATTACCCACGCATTCAAACGTATAGTCCAGTCCTCCATACGACTGAAACAACTGTTCAATTGTCTCAAAACCTTTTGGCAATTTTGTGGGATTCACGCACTCATCGCATCCAAACTTCTTAGCCGTCGGGAACTTGTCTTCATTGATATCGACACCAATGACTCGCTTCGCACCGCACTCTTTGGCCGCCATAATGGCTGCCAAACCGATGGCTCCCAACCCAAAGACAGCCACTTGTGAGCCCTCATCAACTTTGGCCACATTCACCACATTTCCATATCCGGTGACAACACAGCACCCAATTAGACACACTTTCTCTAAATCGACGCTCTTGTCGACCACTACCACCGACTCGATCGGCATAACTGTGTACTCACTGAAAGCGGCACAACCTATCGACTTATAGATTGGCTTCTCATCCATTGTCCAGAATCTGGTGGTGCCGTCCGGCATCACATTCATTGTCTCCTGAGTCCCTATAATCACAATTAGTTTATATTTATCAATGAATTTATTGTTTTTTAAATTGATTACCTGTTTGGCAAAAGTTTGTTTTGCGATTAAGACATAGATCACATTTCTTACAGTTGGGAATCCAGAGGGGGATTATATAGTCGCCAACGTTAATACCCGTCACACCCGGCCCCAGACTCTCCACAATACCCGACCCCTCGTGACCCATAATCAATGGAAATGTAAAGTCGTTTGATATGTTTGTGTCCAAAATATGCAGATCTGAGCGACAAATACCACTTCCGATTATTTTGACTCTTATTTCTCCACTTTTAGGCGGATCCACATAAATGTCTTCGACGGACATCGGCTTATTTGGTCCGTAAGCGACGGCTGCCCTACACTTCATTCGCTTTACATTTCCCTCCATTTTTGTAATTATAATTTTATTAATTAAAGTGATTATTAAGTACAAATTCACATAAAACTTATTTTCAGGCAAATAATTTATGATTATGTAGGAAAAGTTTGTAAGAATTGATAATTGTTATCAATTTTTCAAGTTTTGTTTCTGATTTTTATCAATTAATTTTTTATAATATATTTATATAAAAATAAATATTAATTTTAGTTAATTTAATGATATGCACTACTACTGTGAGTTTAATTACTGTATATCGTAGCCAAACTTTATATACTATTTAACTCTTATATTTAAAGTCAAAGTTCGTTAATAATCTTTGGAGAAGTCCTGAAAACTTGCAATGAGTTTAAGTTTTTGTTGTATTAAATAACATTTTTATTGATTAGATAAACAAAATTATTATTACATTAAGTTTGCTCAGGCCTTTCATTGATTCATATTATTATTATCGGCGTTTAAGAACTTTTGATAATTTATAACAATTTTATTATTCAGTACTGCATAATACGAATATAAAGTTATATAAAGTTATAGGAATTTATTATTTCAATGGCAATATTAATATAAAGTTATATAAAGTTATAGGAATTTATTATTTCAATGGCAATATTAATATTAACTATTGTAAATGAATAATCTAAGAATTTTCCACTATTGTTTTACTACAGATTGCTACAAACAAAATTACCTATTTAAATACTAATTAAAAACAATTTCTATGTTTAAAAATCAAAACAAAATAGTTTGCCCTTAATTTTAATAAATAAATATATTTTATATGTATAGTAAAATCATTTTGAATGGAAATATTTTCAAATGCTCAGCACAAAAATATGTCAAACACACGCATACAGTTCATAATTAAATTGAGAGCAATTAAACTAATAATATTTAAAAACATTTGTATTTCTTGAATTTGATGAAAAACTTATTTTCCAAAACAAATACACTTTTGTTATTATAAAATGGTTTTGTATTTGAATATTTTTAACATTACATGGAATTTATTATTCATAATCCTCTACACGAGTAAGTTAACTATTTATAACAATTTATAATATTTTATTTAACTAATTAAATTAATTTAAATTCTAAACAGGATTAACAAATTGTAATATAAGTGAGTATATATTTATGTTACCGGTATATACTTTATCTTAAAATATCTTAAACAATTTGTATGAAGTGACAAAAGTGATTCAAACACAGCATATGCCGCACTGTTTGAACCCAAACTCGGAGCCCATGGCTGTATCAGTGATATCCCGGATCAATGCATATGAGGCCAAAGCCAGTTGTCTGGGTATCGACGCTGAGGCCAACGATGACACCCGTTATTTCAATATCACTCTCCATAACAAACAAATATTCCAGTCATTTGTTAGGCTATTAAACGTGGAATCAATTGATATAAAAGGTATGATAATAAAGTTTTTAAAAATATTTGTTATATTTAATTATTATAATAGGAATTATGGTTCACATGAGTCTGAATGAAGTGTTGTCAGGATTTTACAAAAATGGATTATTTGTCAAAATAACATTCACTCCATCACTGAATATGTCTGAATGTGTGGACAGAGGTCTGGACACAATCACGGGATATACCGGTGTTTTAGTGATTAAGAAAACATTGAATAAGTCAGATGTGAACGCATTCAGTAAACTAATGGTCAGTCTATTGGAGTATAATTTAGGCACAAATGATAGCATGGAAGACGACTTTAAGTCATTATTCAAACAAATCTCATCATTTGGTTTGATTACTATTGAATGCTTTGGCACACAAACTAT